ATACAAGTTTCATAAGACGTCATTTTATCGCACGAGCCCTATATTAGAAAACGAGCCGGAGGCGAGTTTTCTAAAGGGCGAGTGCGATAAAATGTCTTATGAAACGAATATTTTATACTATTTTTTCTATTTTGGTATTGTTTAGTAAAAAAAACCAATTTTTCTTGGAAATTTTATTCTCATATTTCCTGATTTCATAGTTTAGGTTGGTAACACTACATGCCAAATATAGAAATCTTCTATTATAAAATAGCGAATGACAGTTTGATGGCCATCAGTCAGTCAGTGTCACCAACCTCCGATAAGTAAAAAAGGAGTGTCACAAAGAGCTTCTTTTCGAAACTACTTTTAGTGTCGAAAAGACTTCGATATGACACCAAAATAGAAAAAATAATATTTAAGCCAACTCCAATCGGTTCGAAACCCTTTGAACACTTATATTAATACATACGTTGTTTCGAATCAAAAATTCCTAACAATTATTGACAGCTTTTCGAAGTTTGCACAAGCTATTCCAAATATTAGCAAAACTTTAGTTGAGATTGCATCACAACTTATAAGATATTTCAGTGACTATGGAATTCCACAAAGAATTACTTCTGATAACGGAACTGAATTTAAAAATGCAATTGTAAAAGATTGATTTACTCTACATAAAATCGAATTTCATTATACGAAATCCTAATTCGAATAGTCCTATTGAGAGATTACATTCTACCTTAAGAGAAAGTTTAAGAAGCTTGAAATTACAAAGCCCTAATAAAAACATTAATGACTTAATGGTGATTGCAATCTTGAACTATAATAACAGCATACATAGTGTTACAGGTTATACACCTTTTCAAATAATTAAAGGCGATTTAAATTATTCAATACCTATCGAAAATTCACAAAATAAGATAACCACAGATTATATCAATAATCTTGCCAAAAAAAAACTCTAAATAATGTTATTCATGACAAATTAATTTCAAAACAAACAAAGAATTCAGAGAAAATCAATAAGCAATGTGAATAAGAACCTAAATTAAAGAATAATATTTTCATTAGGAATAAAATTAGTCCTCGATATGGTATTAAAACATAAGTTATATTTAGCAAACGGATGGTAAAGCGACAACATTTTGTTTCAGAAAAACCAAAATGTTCCTGGCAGCTTTCATCATCTTCCTCATAGGAATTTCCAGTAACGCCTACACGTTAACTCCATTAAGGAATCCTATTTTGCCGATTTCTATAGGAAACACAACATATCATAACACTGCATCAATACAAATAAATGGTTGCTATCAGGAACCGTTTGCTTGTATCAAAAATTAGCATGACAACCATGTATACAATAATATGGGAGAATTATCGTTGTAATTCTTAAAATCATCACTTATCTTATGGGATTTCTAACACATGAGTGGAATAATCACATTAATACCACCCTCAAGGGCGCCCACAGGGAGGGTCAGGGGGGTCACTCGACCCCCCCTGGAAATTTCTTAAATTTTAATTATTTTCTATATATATTATATTGTAGGTCCGATGATGCTCGTATGAGCGAAACGGGCATACTTGAATTCGGCCACAAACCAGGTAGCTGCAGTAATCCTACCTTTGAATTCTACCAAATCATGAAACCCAACCTACTTCCCATAAAACTTACCTTATGATGTTGACAGATTTAGCATTGCATATGAGTTAATAAATCTAAAAAAGTGTAAATATGTATTTTGATGCGCAAAATGAAAAGATCTACCAAAATGACTATGGAAAGATCCACAGGCAATTGTTTTCTTATCCAGGTCTATCGAGGCATATGCCATGTGTCGATGAGATAATCTGAAAATTTAACTAGAACTTCGTGACTCGGCTGAATAGCTAACAACTCGAAAACAAAAAAATCGCTAACTTCTTGATTCTCCAAAAACATCATTCCGAAACAATTGTAATGTAACGATTTACCGATTTCTGAATCTTTTTTTTATATTCAATGCTTAAGCCTAAGTTTTGGATCTTCCTCTACCATGCCTGAGATTTTAGCTATTTATAAGAAGTAAATAAGTTGATTTAATATCTATATCTCAGTGTACCGATTTGCATATTGATAAATTGTCACCCTTTCTTTATTCCGGATCTAGTGAATTTTGTGGCTGAGTTCAAGGATCTCGGAGCTAAACACATGTCACTATTAAGTGAATCAAATAATAAACAATCTGTGTGTTAACATGTGGCTTTTCAAATTATGTTTTTGCTTAAATTTTGCATTGCAACTGTCACATTCAAATGGATAAATATCCGAATGTGTTAGTTTGTGAATCTTTGAATCGGCTTTCCATTTAAATTTTAATTTGCAAGTGTCACATTCAAAAGGATAAATATCCGAGTGTGTCGAAATGTGCCTTTGTAAATTATTTTCTTCAAATTTTGCCTTGCAAGTGTCACATTCAAATGGATAAATACCCGAATGTGTTAGTTTGTGTATCTTCAAATCGCGTTTCTGTTTAAATTTTGATTTGCAAATGTCCCATTCAAAAAAATTATATATCCAAGTGTATCAATATGTGTTCCTTCAAATCACCTTCTCTTTTCAATTTTGCATTGCAAATGTTACATTTGGAATTCTCCTCATCCGAGTGTGTTAATATGTGGCTTCTCAAACTACGTTTGTGTGCAAATTTTGCATTGCATGTGTCACATTTAAAAGGATAAATATCAGACTGTATTAGTTTGTGTCTCTTCAAACAGTCTGTTGATATGTGACTTTTCAAATTACCTTTTTGTTTAAATTTTCCTAATTTAAATATTTCTTTAAATTCTGATTCTGCTTCTAAAATGATAATTTAGACTGAAGTGCCCTTTTTTACGCATAAATAATTTATTCAATTGATTTTGACCCCCCCTACATATTTTTCTGCGGGCGCCCCTGACCACCCTTATTGAAAAAAGTATTAAAACTCTCGAAATAACTTTGAAAAATTTAAACAATACTTTAAATCAAACCAAATGGTCTCATAAAGACGAAATTGTTGCTTTCTTATAAGTAAATATTAAAACTAGGCAATGACGTATCAATACATTGAAGAAATTTGAAAAACAATTCTCACACGAACAACGAAGTAAACGTGGAGTATTCAATTTCATAGGTACAGCACAAAAATGACTGTATGGAACATTAGATGCAAATGACGGTGATAGATATGATCCTTACATTCAAACATTAAATGAGAATCAGCAAACTATCGATAAAAATCTAAAAGATCAAACGTAGAAACGTACTTAAACAAGTTACGAAAACATTTTATGATCAATTTTCAAATATCGAAAATAATCAGATATTAATTTCAGATAAGAAATATTCCGACGGATAATCAAAATATTCAAACTATCTTAATGATGAATCTAATTTTAGAAAACATTAATATGCATAGTAGTTAGCTACGCGAGTTAATTAACCACGTTCAAAACGCAATAAGTTTTGCTCACGCAAGTATAATGCACTATAAAATACTGCAGCATAATGAATTGAACTTGAACTTGAAAAATATACCCGCCAGTCAACAAATACCGTTTGAAAACATAATTAAATACTATGAGACAATGTCTTCTCATGTAATAATTCAAAAGGAACTAATTATATTTACTATATTTATACCAATAATTAGTCCTAAAAAAACTATTTCCCATACCTATCAAAAATTATACAATTAGTGTTAAGAATCCTTACCTTTTATTTACCACAGACACGTATTACAATGCATTACAAAAATATCCAAATATTGAAGACATTTATTTGTGCAAAATGGAACTATTGAAACAAGATGAGCTCTGTGTTTACGATATTGTACCTAGTGAACAACAATTATGCCCATTCACGAAAATTCAATATGAAGAATCGACAGTTGACGAAATACCCAATAATCAAGTATTGGTTATTCCAAAACGACATGTGACAGCAATGCTGCAATGTAACCAGAGCAAATACATGGAAATAATTTCCAGTCCAATCGTAATTTCCAATAACAATTAACAATCGAACAATTTTGGAAGACACGCATAAAAACTTTAACCTAGAATTAGAACTACCCATCATGGACATTCCTGAACTTCTAGAGAATACCACAACTGTAGGACTTAAAGCAGTCGATCATGAAGCTCCTCAATCAGCGATTAAAGAAGTAAACAAATTAAAGACTGACCCATTAGAAGAGTTAAATTTTGAAACTAATAATGTGTCAACCTATATTATAATCAAAGTATTAGGTTCTATTTTTATAACAATTATTCGTAGTAAAACTAAAACTGAGGTGCAGATTGAATTGCCCAACATTGTTAGTCAATCCCAATTTACAACCACTTAAAGAGGGAGGAGTTATATTATAAATTTCTATGTTATTATTATATACCTAATACTCCTTTTCAACGTTAAATATAAGCGTACGCCACTGTAAAAGCTCACAATATTATAAATATGCTGAGTAAGCGGTACTGCAGTGGAAAAGTACCGTCATATCAAGGTTTCGCCCACTCAATTGCACCGTCAGCGATATTTTATTATAAATACGGCGCGCAGAGCCTTCATATTCATTTGTATTGTAGCCTTAGACTATAGCAATTTAGAGTCCAGTATTTTTTGTTGTAACTTCTTAATTTTTAATAAAATAAATAGTTTTTAAAAACAAACAAGATTTACTGAACGAAAAATATAATTAAGACAAAGAGAATTCTTATGCATGTCATCAAATCTGACAAATGATTAAAGGAGCCACACGTATAATATTACTTCATCAGTCTTGCAAACTATGCGACTTAAATGGGCCGAGAGGGTCGCAAGCTTTACGGGTGTCAGGGTGTCCATTATAGCAAAATTAGTCTGATTTACAAGCGAGCAAGCGGGTGCCAAGACGATTTTCAATTTGCATTTTGATGGGCGATAAATCCGCTGACGGAAAAAGGGAAAATTGAGGCCCGCCAGTGAAATTATTATTTGAAAGATTGTTTTTGGTACTCACCCACTACTGATAAGTACATCGACATGCCCATGGGCGGCGTGGTACCGACTTGACATTCGTAGGTACCGGCATCCCTCCTTTGAGGGTAGCGCACTTGTAAGGTCCAGTCCTCGGTTTGAGGGTTGTGGAGGGCGGAAAACCGCTGGTCGGATGTGTAGGTGAAACGATTCACGGTCAGCAGGTGTAGATCTCGGTGTCTTATCCAGGAAACCTAAAACAAAAAAATATAAAAAGTTTATTATATAATAGACATTATTGGCATTTCAAAATTTGCGAAATAATTCCTTCACAAACGTTTGATATTTGCTGATTGAATCAATTCCTAAATTGACTCAAATTAAAGCTCTATTATATTTCTGTGATGTACAATGTAATTTTCCTATTGTGTGTGCAAATTCTCTTTGGATCGTATACATATGAAAATGGAATTATCAAAATTGCCAAAGAAGCAAAGTAGGTACATAATTGGTTTGTTGGTAGTTGGAACTAAATACCATTATACCTACTGAGAGTTTTCTAAAGAGAAAAAAATGGCAGATAGAGTGCGGTAGCTATTGTATTTTTAAAATAGAATATTTTTTCAATACCCACAAAGCATTTATTTTTCTATTTGTGTCTGTCCTGTAAATAAACCATTGTGCTCACTGACAATGGGCTTTTTCATAGGTATTTTAAATATTCCGCCATTAGGTAAACAACTCTAATGTATTTTTTTTTTTTACCGATAAAATAATCCCCGAAATTGTCGGGCCTCTACTAACGAGCGAAACTATTTGAAAACGCTGGCCCCCGGACATTTTAATTACTTATTACAAAGCGGGGCTAATGGCAACTGCAAAATCATAAACAGCAATTTTAGTAGCACACGGAACTAATGCGGCTAAAACGAGGTATTTGATGGTTAATTTGAATTTTGCAAATGACCCGTCACTATTTTGTCAAAAGTGTGAAATGGGAGTATGGGAATTTTTAATTTTGGTTGATTGTGATTTCCAATACATGCTCTAACACTCAATTTGAGTTTACGATTTTATCTTTCTACGATTCTGACACAATTTTTGAGTCTTTGACACGCTTTTCTTGTTTGAAAATGTATTCTAACGAAACCTTATGGCTTTGGTTTCTCATTATTAGATTGCTCTATAAGGTGAATGTGTTAAAATGACATGAAAGAAGAATTGAAAAAATAGTCTATTTTTTTCTGCTACAGGAAAATAGATTTTCCATATGCCTAGCAGATATCTGATCACTGACATAATTTTCAGTGGTTGAAATCCCCGAAGAGAGAAAATCGGTCAGCAAAATCTGTCATTAGGTGACGGTCTAAAAGCTTCTTACACTTAATTATTTCATTGATTTCTATTTCAGAGGTTTGCAACATCGTTACCCTCATCAGAATTCAGAGGGCAAAATTCTATGCTAGTGGAGGCAGAAATGAAGAATCGGGGTTCATTTGAACTGGAACCTGGAATTTTGAGGTTCTGTCTAATGTAACGGTAGGTACTCTTTTTATTTTATCTAAATCTAAGTTTTTGGTTTTGGCCAGAGATACTTCTAACACTGAAAAGTCATTGCGTTGCCATATTTCATTTATTTAGGCTTGCATTCAACCGACGTAATTTTATTATTTTTTGAATTCAAGAACGGCTGGACCGATCTTGAATTAATACCACGTATCTCTATATAAGGTGAATTCGATTCAATTTAAGTGAACTTCTTCTGATCTAGATCATTTTTTTGTTGATGAGGGTGCACTGATCCAGCTTGAATCGAACACAGTGTGGTTCATTTAAATTGAACCAGATCGATCTAATCCGGTTAATCGAATCGGCTATAGAGGAGAGTGATATAGGCTATTTTTTATCCCGAAAAAAAAAGTTCGGTTGCGTAAAACTCTGATACATTGGAACGCCTATAAACAGCCCGGGGCGCTCTAGAGCAGCTCTGGAGTGCTTAAAATGCGGCACTGAACTCACTGGCAGGCGACTCTGATATCGGATTAAAAAAAAAAATTAAATAGAAAATGAACAACAAAATTTGAAAAGAAGTGTATTATTTCAAAATGTATTTACACGCTGGCAACGCAGCGGGTCATTAGCTAGTTGCTTTATATAACTAGACATTTCCGAATTGAATATCAAAGATTGTTCAGTTACTTCGGATTTTGATAGTTCACCTCTGTTCTGGATTTAGAACTCAGTTTCTTCACTGGTCCAGGTGAATTTCTGAGCTCAAATCTGAGTCTTTTCTTAGGCCACTACTGAGATTGTCTGTTTTTTGTTGGCGGAGTTCTTCGAGAGCCTCTTCAACCATGAGTTCTTTCAGTTCGTCTAAAGTTTCATCATCCACTTCTTCAGATACAGAGAACCGATGCAGCCAATGGTATCGGCATTCATTGGGGTCTGTCTCTTCTCAGGATCTCCTTACCCCCCTATTTGGTTCACAACTTTCTCCTCAGAGTCTCCTTACTCAAGGGAGCTATAGCTACACTTCTCTTCAGGGTCAGTTTTCCTTTCAAGAAAGCTGAAGTACCTATCTTCAATTTTGTATCTTCTCTAATTTTTTTCTTTTAATTTTGTTCAAATACATATTTAATAGGCTCATTACATCACTAATGCAATAATAATTCTTTAAATTTGTACTTATAAGATAACAAATTTTCTCGAATGGCCCTTTCTCTAAACATAAACACGAGTTTTTATTATTATTTGTCACCTAAAGGGTCTCACGTTTGTATGTATATTAAACGCTTTAGGTTTCATGACTCGAAACAACTCTCTGTGACGTACCAAATTTTGCTCAAATTTCATGGATATTAAAGCATAAATTCGTGATGATTCATTTAGTAAATAAACGGTGGCCACATCAAAGGTAATAAATAATGAATTTCACCGCGTCAGCACTATAGCTTGAATGTTTTATTCAGCAAATAGCTGACCGCGGCAAATATTTTAGGCCGGTGAAATGGGAGCGAAGGAAATCGAGGAAAAATCGAATTAATCAAGCTTGTACCTGTTTTCTTAGCTGGACCGCGAACGCATTCGTTAGGACGAACTTGGTTCGTGTATCAAGCGTTATAAATAACTGGCCTGCTAAGAACTTAGCACTTGATTTAACCAGAATGGTTCGTAAAAAAAAAATCACTCTGAAGCAGATTCAGGAAAATGCAGTGGTAATTTGTCACTGTTTAATGGGTTTTTGAAAACATATAATCTTTAGGATCCATTGTAAAATAATAGTGCAACACGAAAAATCAACTTCTACAAGTGGAGGTAATCGTTCAAAAAAAAAGGCACAATTTTAGATAAACTACAAAATTATGTCTATGTCTACACAGCAAAGTGAAATTCTTCAAAATATGAAGCAGATTCTATGGAGCAAATAATTCTTTCATCAATTCAAACCTGCTTGCTGAAATCCAACAGAAAAGCCAACAAATTCTTCCATATCCTAACAACCTAGTATCCCGATAAATATCAAGCGACAGAAATAAATGAGGCGCCAACGTTTCCTGGTTCCTTGCCTCCATTAATCTTTTTCCGCAATTTTTTCTCACAATCGTCTTGTCGGTGTAAGATTTAAATATTCCATTCTAATATATATTTGATGGAAACTTTTGTTCTGATTCTTTGCAGGGGTCCTATCCAATCTACGCAAATTCTCTGTCCTAAAGAATAATTTAGGAGATTCGAGATAAGTCAAGTCGGCCGCAGATTTATCTATCAAGCTTCTGTTTCTTTGTTGGAATATTTTTTTGATTGACCTCATCTAATGTTTTTGTTTTTTTTAATTCTTAGCACCTATAACTGTCTTGACAATTGCTGCTGCTCCACCGCTTAATGCTCCTAAGGCACTGAGACCAGCAAATATTGGAGTAAGTGGTAGTAGATCATCTGTTTACGGTATAGGTAAGATATGAGGGGTCAACAGCAACCCGCATCGCTTTTACACTCATTGCAACATTTTCTTGCAGATTCTTGTTTCTATAATGCTAAAAATTTTGAACAGAATGTTCATAAGGAGGGGACTGTTACTCCCGCCATTGCACTTTCTGTAGATCTTAATCCGGGACTGGCTGTCCTGACTTAACTCCGGGGGAAACGAGCAACCATCGGTCTGATAGAGTCACTCTTCTGGATAAGTGCTCTCAAACTGTGTCCCGATTTAGTGAACTCAGCTTAGCTGCGGAATTTTCTCTCTGTGGTCATGCCTCACAAACTAGTCCTCCCAGTGACTAAAAAAGTAAACAAAATTTAAACGCTCAATATAAATAAAACTCAAGAACTTCCTCAACTATTGGTTGGAAATAAGTCTAGTGTGATTGGCTGCTCTTCATTTATCAGGAAGCAGTCTACCATCCGATTTGAGATCAACTGTCAGTTTGGGTGGTGGCTTCTTCATGAGGATATTTTTGACAAGTACTTTAATCTAAGTCGTCGTTTCACCAGACGCGATTATGTCATCCTCTTCTGGGTAAAACTATTAGCGACAACTTAGTTGCCCATATACTTGATAGATTTTCTCACACTAACCGAATCATCGTTGGACCTCCCAATGCTGCCTCCAAGCCCATTCTCAACAACTTTAAATACGAATCTGACATGGTCTTCAAGAAGGTCCTGCATAACAAGTAGGGCTCTCTTGCAAGGTTCCTCAGCTTTAATGAATTTTCCGATGACAGCGAGCTGAACTACTATGGGAGCCCTTCCCACATTGACAAGAAGAAGCTCCTAGAATACATAATCTGCAAGTTATTTGTGATTCCAATCAATTCCGAGTCCTTCCTAATAATGAATGTATTGGGAGTGGTGGTAGTAGTAATAGTCCAAATTTTTGAATTACGTCGACTTCAGAAAATTGGCCGTCTATTATCAGAATGTAAGAGGTCTTAGAATGCAATCAAGTGGCAAGCACTCACTCATTAGAGTATGATATCGTATTTTTGTCGGAAACCTGGCTCAATGATGGTATTTTGAACTCTGAAATATTTGATCCGCGTTTCAGGGTCTTTCGGAGGGACCGTAATTATGGTGAACTAAATTGTCAGCGTGGTGGTGGAGTTTTTTCCGCACGCAAACACTTATCTATAACTGTGTTTGCCTGCGGAAAAGTAACACTTTGCGCACTTGTTAGGAAAATAACTATATATGGATTCACATATTTATTATGTAGATTGATGATGGTATTGGGATAATAATAATTGATAAATAA